GCTGAAAACAAAGGTTAGCAAGGATGTTGCATAGCGGGTTCAAGAGATTCTAAAACTCCAAAATGAGGTTGACAAGGAGATTGCTAAGTGTAATTGTAAAATCAAGAACAAGTGAGTCCGGAAAGAAGTTGCAGTTACAAGGAGACCTCATGTGGATTCGACAGAAGGAGAGGTATCCAGTGGGAGCATTCAGGAAGCTTAACCCAGAGCATATGAACATTTCATAATACTTCGAAGGTTGAATGACAACACTTACAAGAACGACCTTTCAGAGGACTAAAACGTTTAGGCCTCATTCAATATCGTGGACCAGACATCGTACTCTGAGAACCCAAAAGCTTTGATGAATGAGGTTGAAGCTTTCCCCACCTTGGGAGACTGATGCGGGGTTTTAAAGGTGAGCTGAACCAGCCAGATGAACCGGTTGGCCCTCATGAAGGTGGGATTTGCCACCCACACCCCCCTTTACTTTCCCAATTCCTGGCTACTAAGAGTTCGCATTCATAAGGGGTGGAATTTGCCGCCCACTGCCTCCCTTCTCCTTTTTTGTTTCCCTTCTCCTTTTTTGTTTCCCATCTGCTTGGAGTTTATTTATATGCATGTCTGCTGAATTTAGGGTTAGATTATTGTCTCTTTCAAATTTCTGTGAGGAGTCTTCTTCCCCTTGTTAGGGTTAGATTCGACGTCAGGTGGTACTTCGATTGTATCATGCTCCGAGATGATGTTGTATCCTCTCTGATTTCCTCCTCCACTCTCCCTTATCTCCCTTAGCCGTTGGTCTGCACCCACATCTTCTAATTTTCCCACTGCCTCCCTTCTCCTTTTTTGTTTCCCTTCTGCTTTGAATCTATTTATATGCATGTTTGCTGAATTTAGGGTTAGAATATTCTCTTTCAACTTTTTGTGAGGAGTCTTCTTCCCCTTGTTGGGGTTGAATCCGACGTAGGGTGGTACTTCGGTTGTATCCTACTCCGAGATGATGTTATATCCCCTTCGATTTCCTGCACCCTCCCTTATCTCCCTTAGTCGTTGGCCTGCACCCACATCTTTTTATTTTCCCCTGTTGCCCCTTCTTAACATCCACACCCGCTGCCCAACCTATACTCTGCCACCTCCCTACCATTTTCCCTGAAGTACTGCAACCCTCATACCACCTTCCCCAACAGCCGCCACCACCTCCTTTCCCCCCTATAATTGCCGCCGGCTCTTCTCCCTGGTTCTGACCAACGGCCACCATACCACCCCATTCAAGGCACCTACTCTACACCTTCTACCACCACTACTCCCAACCACCTTGTCGACACCACCACTGCCCTCAAATCTCACTATCCGGCCTTAGCCGGAGATTGGTGTTTATTGTGTTTCTATTTCAGTTTTGGGTCGTGTCTGTAACCTTATTATTTGCTTAATAAATTTTTTTTTTTTCCATTACCATGGTTTTGATTATTATGGTATCACATCTTATACAAATACCAAGGTCAAAGCATGCATATTTGGACCATGGTCGTATCCTCATAATTCCAGCATGGCCATATCCCATAAATCCTGTACACATCACTGGGCCAAGCCGTATCCATAAAATTCCTGCATGCATTGTTGGTTTGTGACATATCTTGATAAGTCCAGCACACAAAGTTTAGACCATCATGGAAAACTTTCCTCAGATTTGTGTTAAAAAAAACGACTGTTGATGATAGAATCAAATTAGTTCAAGTATAGTGAGACCAACGACTACATTAAACAATTTAAGAAGTTTAGGGTCAAAATGGACACTTCAAGGAAGTTTATGAATCATTTTTACTATTAACTCAATATATTCATTTGCAATGTTAGTAGCAAGTGAACTACAATTAATGACTATGCAGCAAAACAATTTTACACATTGAAAGAATAAGAAATTGAATGAATGATCATAACCTTTTCAAAAAGAGAAAAGCCCAGTAATGCACCAATCTTTCTATGATTGGTCCCAAAAATCCAAGGCCAAAAGACAGGGATTACCATTTAATAAGAAGAGGATTGCAATAAATGCCTATAAGACTGGCTGCATGGCACATTTCATTTAGGTCAACAAAACGTTCAAATAACTAAAAAAATTTGGTGACCTTAATTTCGATAAAATAAGTACAGTCTTCACTCTAAATTGACGAAGTAGATACCAAATAGGTAGCAACATCAGAAAATTGACTGAGCTCCTAAATTTTTTAAGCCCCTTAACTTTGCAGAGAGTAAAATATGAATTCATGAAAGCATCAGAGCCTTTGTCGTTCATCAAGCATATTCCATAAGATTCAAAGGGAAGCAGGAGCGAACTAGCGAATCCCGCATAGTTTGGATTGGAATTGGGGTGTGAATCCATCCCATGAGAACCAAAGCTGAAATTTTCTAGTGAGTTGCACCACCTGCCTTATGGGGTATTGTTTCATGATTAGGGTTTTGATTGGTGTTTTAGTATAAATATGTTGCTTGAAAATTGGTTTGATAATTTTGGTTTTGATTTATGCAATAGAGATTGTTTTCTCTAATTCATTGAGTTGTATCTAGATCTTTACCAGGTGGTGAGCTTGTAGCCTGATTGGATAGAGGCGGTGATCTTTCCAAGACAATTGAAGATGTCCTACGCTGTCAGTTTTGCAGCCGACCAGCAGTTTTTCAATTCTGTCTTGTTGTCCAGCCACCAAGAAACCCAATTTCTCAACCGCCATCATCTTTTCACTCTCATTTCTGATTCAACAACTTATCTAACCCCTCCTTTGATTATCCCACACCGTTTAGTAACCCTAAATCGGTGTCACAAAGTTTTACACAACTTTATTTTATACACTAAACTCATTTCTTTGCACCATTCCTGCCAATATTTTCAATTTTTTTAAAGAACTTCAATACCAAATTTTTCATAAACTGAAGAACCCCATTTATCCAATAAATAAAAAATATAATTTACAGTGAAGGTTATGGACACCCCAAGAAACAAAAATAACATATATTACCTCCGCCGAAAAAGCCTGGAAGGTAGGTTGGAATCGTTTTCGGCAATAACCATGAAATACGAGTGTGACCACGGGAAGTGGCAAAAGAAGACTTGAAGCAAGAGGAAGCCTCTTCAGGCTAAATATCCCAAATGCCATAGTCTGCATAATTATTAGCGAGAATATAGTTGAATTGTGAACTATAGGCCAAAACTGTCCATCGGTTTCATACTTGGGCAAATACACATTTAATAGCTGCACAAGCACGAAGTAAAAAATCACATTACTAGAGAGTATATTTAGTAAATTCCCTAGCTTATAAATAGGAACACACTAACATAAGTTAATGAAGCATCAAGAATTTCATGTAGCTTTCAAGGGAACTCTCTCTCACATTAGCTTTTCATTTAGAACGGCTGGAATTTGTTCAAGTACACTTCGTTGTAGAGAAACACAATCAAGGATGTATTTGATAAAAGACAAGGATGATGTTTATTACAACAGATTAATTAATTTATTTCCTTCTTTATAGGAGGTAATTTGCAACTCTGACTTCTTTAGAGATCAAATTCAATAACATGTTGCTACTAATATGACGATCAAAGGTAATATCACTTGAACAAATAATTGGCGGTCACATTTTATATATTATAATCTTACTCCAGGGTATAGGAATATTACTGGAACTTAGAAACGGCAAGATAAAATTACAAAATTATTGTGAATAAATAGTAATTAAATTAAAAATTAATTGGCTGATACAGCATTCAGAATGTAGACTCTCACCTGATTTCGATAGATTATATACCCAATGCAGAAGAATACCAATATAAATGGAAGAATCAACGGGGATAACAAGAAATAAATGAGCCCGATAAGTAGAAATAACAGAATTCTGGGAATTTCACTGTGGTAAGTCATGGAGGGTGCTTGCAGTTCATCATCAAAGCATCCTGAACAATCACCTATCCAATCACAAAGAAGAGCAACCACGCGCGTGAGTTCTTTTGATAAACTTGTCCAGGATGTCACAACATACGCTATATAAAAGGTGGCCTACACAACAGAAACAAAGAAAAAAGTACATTATTATTCTTTGACCAAAAGGCTGCAAATATTTGTAAATTTCTGTAAAAACTACATTTCTTGTGTATTTACATATCTAAAATACTACTCAAATTTTAAACATCACATCAAAAATACCACAACCAGTTCCTTTTAAAGATAAAATACACATTTTCATACATAAATTTACGACAATAAGTATAAATATCAAACTTTGGGTGTTAGATAAGTAAATACATAATGTAAATTTCACAAATAATTGTCCCTTTGCCATCATATTGGAACTTGGCTTCCATTAGACGATTGAGGAACGCTTTAAGGTAGAATCAATGGCTGCTAGAAGTACATTTCTTAAAGCATGGGTAAACTTACTGTATTTTTTTCTTATATATGCTGATAACTATGCCAGTTGGATCAAGACGAGGTAACACCGTGATGGAAGTTAACTTCATATTAAAATAATCATCTGATTTTAGAATTCTTAATGAAGTGTAATGTTAAGCGAAAGAAAGAATGTCAACTCCAATGATGCAAATACTAATGAGAATCCAATGCCCTATGATTCTGGAACTAGTAGGGGAATCAGTAGAAACACCAAGAACAATATTTCATTAGCATTAAAATAAGATTATATCATGACTCAAACGGAAATAACAACACAAAATAGGAAATGACGTCAATAACACTTCTAAATGTATTCCAACGGGTGGTGGAGATCAGCAAGGTGTCGGGATGGCTGGCGAGGGTGGTGACAACAACAAAGTGCTGATGGTAGCGAGCGGAAGAGGCGAAAATGTAGGGCCAACAAGTGGGAAGGGCTCTAAGTGATTGGCAATGGTAGTGTGGTAGTTTGGGAGAAGCTTGTAGTGGTCAGCGTCTAGGGAGGGTGAAAGAGAAAGGCTGGGGAAGATACAATCACCACCTCAGAAGGAATACAGCTGGAACACCATGACTTCCTTGGATATAACCCACAAAGGGAAAAGAGACTCCACATAGAAAATCTGATATTAAACACTCAAAACTGACTCTTCACACACCTATGAAAGCAATTTATAGGCTCCCCTAGATGGGAGAAGCTTCTACACAAAGGAAAGTGGTGCAATAGGCAAGAAGAATCCGAAAAACTCTTCTTAGAAGAGATTCGGTGCGAAATAGCCCCTTTGGAACGCGAGATTTCGTGATCCCTCTTCCTTGTACTCGCGTTGGTTCTCCTACTGTCACGGCTTCGCGTGGCTTCCTTGCTCCTGTGATGCTTTGCATGGTATTGTGATCCGCGTCCCTCTCCTTTGTGCGGGATTGAAGCCTCGTGCTAGGGCCACAGTTAGCGCCCCGATACAGGGGCGCCTACATCAGTCTTCCAAGGTTGGGGGAGCTTCGACGTCATTCGTCAAAGCTTCTGGTTCTCCCCCACCATTCCCAGTTCCCACTAGCGACTCAATGTCGCCTGAGGTATTTGAGGATTTTCCCGCACTTATAAGCAAATGTCAATATCGATTTGTCTTCCCGAGGCTGTGGACCACACCTATATTGTGAATCTTCAAAAAGTAACCCACAAACGGTTCAAACGGACGTATAGTGCAGATAATCGGGCTCTTATCGCCAGCGATGGTGTTGTTGGTATGGCGTTGTCCTAACATAACCATAGATGTATTTGTCCTTGTATCGGAGGCAAGTGTATCTGTCCCCGCGTCTGGTGTCATCATTAAAACTGGTTCCATTAACGTTGTTTTGCTGAAAAGGGATCCTGTAACCTCAGACTCTATCGAAGAAAGAAGGGTCCTTGGTGAAAGAATAAGTGTTTTTATTTTCGTCATGACGAGTCCTTCGATTATATTGTTAAGGCTATCCTAATAAGAGGTTACAGGCATCCAATTGCAGCTGGCCTCCGATCGAAAATTCTACCCAACATCTTCGATCGATGCTAACCAAATTCACTTTCTTCAGCCACATCAGCGAATATGGCTGAGAATGTTTCTGAGTTGTGAGTCTTAATTTCTATACCGTCTATGTCGACACCACGTTCTTGTTGTTTTCACCATCGATAATGAAACTGCATACATTTTCGTTCACTGTGCACCAGACATAGAATACGTTGTGGCGCAACCACTAAAAATCCCTCGTGTCCTCGGTTTGAAAGATTCATCGAATCATGAGTGCCTTTCCTTCATCTGAGGAAAGTTGATACTCGGCCCTCTTCATCGCTAATTTCTTCTACAGTTCCTTGATCTGTGAGTGTGACTACCTTGCTCGTGGGGCAGCTGAAGGCAATGTAGTCATAGCTATCGCATCGGTAGCACTTCTTGGCTGGCATCGTGTTGGAGGAGTTGCCTTTCTACTGTTTCTTTCCACTTTGATCCGTAGTTTCATTCCCCTATCTGGGCTTGCCTGTGTCTCAAGAGAGAACCTTATTAGTCATTTTAATTATAAGTGACAGTCTGCTTGAAAGTTTTTGTTTGAAAGATGATTTTTGCTGACTCTGCTTTTGTTGTCTTTCCAACTTCAAGGCTAAATTTTGAACATCTCCTAGTGTTTAGTATGATTGCAGTTGTACCACATTGTTGATGGCGGGTTTCAGATCCCTGAGATATCTAACTATCGTATGTTCCTTTGACACTGTCATCTCACATTTTATTTGCAAGTGGTCGAATTGGATAATGAACTCTTCAACTGAGAGATCCCTCTACTGCAAGTTGTGGAGTTTTAAAAACATATCCTGACGATAGTGGGGTGGGAGGTACTTTTTCTGGATTAGCTTCTTCATCTTCTCCCACCAAGTGATCTCTTCACTGTTCTCTTTTCCTCTGCCTCTACACCCGTTGGTCTTCTCGTAGATTTTTATATTAAAAAATCATTTAACTGATTGCAGCCAGTTAATAAACTCATTGAGATCCATGCTACCCGCGGATTTTGGGAGACCCATCTTGATGTCATAGTACCTCTGACCTCCATAAGGAGGCCCCTTCTCTCGGCCTCCTTTGGTATTGGATACCAAAACGGTGTGGTCAATATTCCTCATCACTATGATCTTCCAAGTTGAACGAATTCATCTCTTCGTCATTGTCTTCTCTTTGACTCTCTTGATCACAGACGAAGGTAACTTCTTCTTGGTTTTCATAATCTAGCTCGGCTAGTCTGTGTAGACATCGAATTCCTCACTGAATATCTTCCCGAGTCGAGTCGGGTGTACCTCTTCAAGGTGGCATCGCTAAGGAATCAAAAAAAAAAGGGTGGAGATGCAACGGGTAGACGTGGAGGCTGGGAAACCCTATAATAGGATTAGGGGATGAGCTAGCTCTGATACCAAATGATACCGGAACTAATAGAGGAATCAGTAGAAACACCAAGAACAATCATTCATTAATATTAAAATAAAATTACAACAACACAAAATATGAAATGACACCAACAACACTTCTAAATATATTCCAATGGTTGGTAGATAACAGTGAGGTGGTTGGGATGGCTGGTGGGGGTGGTGACAGCAACAGGGTGATGGTGGTAGCGACAGGAAAATGCGGAACTATAAGGGCAGCAAGTGGGAAGGGTTGTAGGTGGTCCTCAGCGATAGTGTGGTAGTTTGGGAGAAGCTTGTAGTGGCTGCGGCTAAGGGGAGTGAAAGAGAGGTGTAAAAGATAAAAGTAAAAGATACAAACACTACCTCAGAGAGGACACAACCGAAGCACCATCACCTCCTTGGATATAGCCCAAAAGGGAAAACACAGAAGATTTGAAACTAAACACACTTAAAACTTACTCCTCACACACTTAGAACAACAATTTATAGGCTCCCCTGGACGAGGGAAGCTTCTACACAAAGGAAATTGGTGAAAAACACGAGTAACCCGGAAAACTCTTTCCAAAAAAGATTCGGTGCAAAATAGCCCCTCTAGATCGTGAGAGTTCGCGATCCCTCTTCTTTGTACTCGCGCGGGCTCTCTCGTTGTAGCGGCTTCGTGTGGCTTCCCTGCTCCTGTGATGGTTTGCGGGGTATCGCGATCTACTTCTCTCTCATTCGTGCGAGATCGCGATCCCGCAATTCCACAAAGCTTTGTGGGTTTGAGGACCCGTTGAATCTAAGCCTCGTGCTAGGGGCAAGATTACCGCCCTACTACAAGGGCGCCTATGAGCGCCCGCGTCATCCTATTAGCCACATGATTCATCTAAATGGTGGGTGAGTCCACGCTAGGATTTGACTGAAATGCGAAATCATTGGCAAACATGAGAATATTTGATATCGAAGTTAACCCAAATAATTATTATTAAAAGCAAATATGTGATTACAACTCAAACGCATTTGAAAGAGAAAATGACAATAGACGACACGTAGACTCCCACAAGTGAATCTTAAGGTGGCGGTGGTGACAGTTAGCAGTTTAGAAAGGTGATGAGTGGAAAAAGCAAGAAGAGCGCAAGACAAGCGGCGACACCTAGCTGTTTGTGTGGCAGCAACAAGGCAGGCGGATGGACAGCAAGGAAAGGCATGTCAAACAACAGCAATTTGCTGTTTAGGGGTGGCAGCAGCAAGGTAGAGATATTTTGGAGCGGCTGTGAGGGTTGACAGATGGTAAGAATGGCTGAGACAGCAGGGTAATGGCAATAGCAAGGGGTAGGGAGGGGTAGGGAGGGGTAGGGACGGCTGGGGGTGGAACGGGCAAGGACAGCAACTCCTTGCAGTCCAAAATGGCAACATCAAGCCGAAACGTAGATGGCAGCAGCTGGAAGATAGGAAAACTGCACGGAAAAAAGCAGCAAGTGGTTGTTCAAGGGTGGCTGCAACAATGGAAGGCGGCCGGAAGCGATGTAGGGAAAATACAAAAGGGGATAAGGAACATGATCATTACTTCGGGAACGAGATACCAGTGGAGCACCACCCAACCCCTCGGATATAGCCCTTGTGGGGAAAATAGAGATGTTGGTGGTTGTCTCGAAAAAAACTCTCAAAAAAACTAAGAATCATAACCCTACTGCACACATTTCAGGAAAGGACTAAA